CACCCTCACGACTCCCGACCATGTAGCGCGTGAATGACTCGAACACCTCCCGAGACAGCGAGAGGGGATCTTAAGGCACGCACCATCGTGAAGAAGCAAGACGCCTCTAGTCCCACACTCTGCCGAAGCCGATGGACCACCTTGCCCACGCAGCTCAGGTCATACGCGCACTGCGACGCGCACAACACGAGCAGACACGAGCAGGTGGGGATCTGTGCTTCGGCAACCTGGGGCACCCTTGCTCGCGCATGGCTGACGGGCTGGAGCCACAGACCCATGCATGACGGCCGTGTGGATTTGTCTTCCGCCTCTGCACTGGTTTCGCGGGTCTGTCTTCAGCGCGGCAGCCATACACCCGCTCCAGCACTGCTTTTTGACACGCATCGGCAGATGCCTACAATACCGCACCCCTCGAGCCTGGACCCACGGCACTGGTCTCGGACATAGCGCCTCGCGAGGCCACTGACGGGGCACACGCAAGGTATTAAGGACCGGTTGTTCTTCTCGCTCAGACTGAGGACCGCACGCAGCAGAATGGCATGCTGCAGCGGTGTGACAAGATTCAGAGCAGTCGCATAGCTCGCACCTCGCCTTGCCGAAAACCAATTTGAAGTCGTCAAACCATGGATCACGCAAGCCACGCTCGACTTGATCGACTGGCGCAGCCAGGCAAGAGCAGCGAACGACAAAACCGAAGAGAAGAGATGATTGACAGAAATACGCAAGGCGTGCAAATGTGATATGACAATTTGGGGGGATGCGCAGATATCGAATGGAAGCTGGGTCGCTCTCAAAGACACTGCCGGCCTCAACCTCACCGGCAGGGAAGGCTCAAAGACATGAGCGGCAAATTGGTCGATTGCACTCAAAGAGCAGACACAATGGCAGAGTATGTGGAGAAAGTACAATGGAAAATACGAATGGCACAATTAGTCGACGACGAAGACCCACTACCAGCTTGGGAAGGACATTTCACAACTGAAGAGATCGGAGCACCTATCCATAAACTTAAGCGTGGCAAAACTTGTGGAATGGATGACACACCAGCGGAGTATTGGAAAGCTATTGCCACAGACCCCGGTGGGCTCGAATGGACTGCGGATTTGTGCACTACATGTTGGAACGAAGAGGCCGTGCCAGAGGATTGGAAGCAATCGATCATTTCTACCGTATGAAATAACCAATAACACCCTCGACAATTGTGACAATTATTGTCCAATCAGTCTGCTGTGCGTGGCCTACAGAACTCATCTTGAAGCGGCTACAAGACGCGGAGGCAGAGGATAGATTAACGCCGACACAGTTTGGCTTCCGCCGGGTATGTGGAACATCAGACGCACTACATGCTGTACGTCGTCACATCGAATTGGCATTTGCAGACAAGAATGGGGGCGTAGCTTCCGTCGCGCTGGATTGGAAGAAGGCTTTCGACCCGATCAACGTGAGCGCGCTGGTGGAGGCACTGCGAAACTTCGGGGTCCCTAGCCGCATCCTGAACATCCTTGGCAACATCTGCGGTGGCAGAACATTCCGCGTTGCCGACGGACGGCAGCGATCCACAGAAAGATACTTAAATGTTTGAATTTCGCAGGGATGCCCATTGTCCCCATTTTATTCGTGATGATGATGACGATGGTTATACGGACGCCACAAGCCATGCAGAGGCTGGAACACGACAAGCTTTGACGGAAGAATATCTGGCTATACTTTTGTATGCGAATGACATTTTGCTGGTGGGCCGCAGTCAAGATCAATTACAAGCTCTGCTGGAAGAAATCACTCGTGCAGGCGCACGGGTGGATATGGAGCTGCACTGCAACACTGTTCAACTTACGCCGGTTCGCTGCGACATTAACCTCTGCACGCCTAGTGATGGTCAAATCCCGCCAAAAGATTCGATGGTACATCTTGGAGCCACACTGCCGAGTTCTGGGCGATTATCTGGAAAATTGGGCAGAAGATTGGGAGCTGCGGGGGGTGAATTCTGTAAATATGCGCGCCCGGAAGCACACGGCGATCAGCATAGACCAGAAACTTCAGATGTTGCGAACATTCGTAACAAGCACAGTCATGTACTAGAACCACGCGCGCGCTTCGCGCGCGCTTAGGTTCTGTCGAGTCACAGACCCAGGAATCGTTGTGAGAAGAAATTGGTGACGCGAAGCGTCGTGGGGGCGTCCTTGGACGTCTGGGGTCTCCTGGGGCCTCTTGAGGGGCCTCCTGGGGGCCTCCTGGCGGCCTCTTGGGGCGGAAGGCTCGAGCTTGCGGTTCGTGGTCCCCCTCTGGGCCCCCTCTTGGGCCCGTCTTGGGGCCCTCTTGGGCCATCTTGGGCGCCTCTTGGGCCGTCTTGGGGCCCTCTTGGGCTGTCCTGGGGCCCTCTTGGAAGCTTCTTGGGCCGTCTTGGGGCGGTCTTGGGCGCCTCTTGGGCCGTCGTGTAACGTCGGAAAGCCCAAAAGATAACTTTGTTGAAAATGTACGTTTTACGAAGGGAATGGGCCAATTTTTGCGTCTAGGGTTGGGACGCATGTTGGAGGCTTCTTGGGGCGTCTTGGGGGCGTCCTTGGACGTCTGGGGTCTCCTGGGGCCTCTTGAGGGGCCTCCTGGGGGCCTCCTGGCGGCCTCTTGGGGCGGAAGGCTCGAGCTTGCGGTTCGTGGTCCCCCTCTGGGCCCCCTCTTGGGCCCGTCTTGGGGCCCTCTTGGGCCATCTTGGGCGCCTCTTGGGCCGTCTTGGGGCCCTCTTGGGCTGTCCTGGGGCCTCTTGGAATTGGGGCGGTCTTGGGCGCCTCTTGGGCCGTCCTGTAACGTCGGAAAGCCCAAAAGGCGACTTTGTGAAAAATTTACGTTTTACAAAGGGAATGGGTCAATTTTTGCGTCTAGGGGCCCTCTTGGGACGCATGTTGGAGGCTTCTTGGGGCCTCTTGGGGGCGTCCTTGGACGTCTGGAGGCCATCTTCAGCATCTGTCGAGTCACAGACCCAGGAATTGTTGTGAGAAGAAATTAGTGACGCGAAGCGTCTTGGGGGCGTCCTTGGACGTCTGGGGTTTCCTGGGGCTTCTTGAGGGGCCTCCTTGGGGCCTCCTGGCGGCCTCTTGGGGCGGAAGGCTCGAGCTTGCGGTTCGTGGTCCCCCTCTGGGCCCCCTCTTGGGCCCGTCTTGGGGCCCTCTTGGGCCATCTTGGGCGCCTCTTGGGCCGTCTTGGGGCCCTCTTGGGCTGTCCTGGGGCCCTCTTGGAAGCTTCTTGGGCCGTCTTGGGGCGGTCTTGGGCGCCTCTTGGGCCGTCCTGTAACGTCGGAAAGCCCAAAAGGCAACTTTGTTGAAAATGTACGTTTTACGAAGGGAATGGGCCAATTTTTGCGTCTAGGGGCCCTCTTGGGACGCATGTTGGAGGCTTCTTGGGGCCTCTTGGGGGCGTCCTTGGACGTCTGGGGTCTCCTGGGGCCTCTTGAGGGGCCTCCTGGGGGCCTCCTGGCGGCCTCTTGGGGCGGAAGGCTCGAGCTTGCGGTTCGTGGTCCCCCTCTGGGCCCCCTCTTGGGCCCGTCTTGGGGCCCTCTTGGGCCATCTTGGGCGCCTCTTGGGCCGTCTTGGGGCCCTCTTGGGCTGTCCTGGGGCCCTCTTGGAAGCTTCTTGGGCCGTCTTGGGGCGGTCTTGGGCGCCTCTTGGGCCGTCCTGTAACGTCGGAAAGCCCAAAAGACAACTTTGTGAAAAATGTACGTTTACGAAGGTAATGGGCCAATTTTTGCGTCTAGGGGCCCTCTTGGGACGCATGTTGGAGGCTTCTTGGGGCCTCTTGGGGGCGTCCTTGGACGTCTGGAGGCCATCTTCAGCATCTCGGAGCCCTCTTGGAGGCCTCTTGGAAATTTCTTGGGCCGTCTTGGGCGCTCCTGGGGCCGTCTTGTCTGACCGGGGAGGCCTCCGGCAAGCCCCGACGAGCCTCCGGGCCCCCCGGAGCCCACATTTGCGGTCGGGGTCCCGGCCCCGGGCCCCCGGACCCGGTGCGCCGTTATATGTATATTCCTTGAATTCAGCATGGCTACAAAAAGCAAAGAGGAGAATATTGGATGGCTTTCAATGCAGGTGCCTGCAACGTATTTTGCAAATCCATCCGGCGTACGTTCACGAGTTCCTAATAAACAAGTCCCGGCGCAATCAACAGGCCTCACAGCTCAGCTTGTAAAGCATCAACTCTTCTTGTTCGGCAAAGTTGGGAAGGCAGCTGCTACCGACCCGCTCCGCCGCCTGACCTTTCAGCCAGGCAGCCTGAGGCCGGCTACAGATACGTGCGCCCGAGCAGTAGGGAGGCCGAGGCAAGAATGGGCGAAGAGCCGTGCCGGTTGTGTTCAGCAGCATTTTGATACACAGGAACACATGATGGCGTGCGCCAATGACCCAGCTGCTTGGCGAAAATTCGTTGTTAATTGGTAGATTCCCTTCCTTGTCATCTCCTGCTCCTCCTCCTCCTCCTCCTCCTCCTCCTCCGCCTCCTCCTCCTCCTCCTCCTCCTCCTCGCCCACGCGCTCCAGCGTATGCCATGACTGACTGACAGACTGCTCTACTGGCTCAGACTGAGGACCGCACGCAACGAAATGGCACGCTGCAGCGGTGTGACAAGATTCAGAGCAGTCACATTGCTCGCACCTCGCACCCACTCGACTCCCGACCATGTAGCGCGTGAATGACTCGAACACCTCCCGAGACAGCGAGAGGGGATCTCAAGGCACGCACCATCGTGAAGAAGCAAGACGCCTCTAGTCCCACACTCTGCCGAAGCCGATGGACCCCCTTGCCCACGCAGCTCAGGTCATACGCGCACGGCAACGCACACAACACGAGCCGAGACGAGACTGGCTGACGGGCTGGAGCCACAGACCCATGCATGACGGCCGTGTGGATTTGTCTTCCGCCTCTGCACTGGTGTCGCGGGTCTGTCTTCAGCGCAAGAAGAATACAATCGCTCCAGCACTGCTTTTTGATACGCGTGGGCAGATGCCTACAATACCGCACCCTGTCGAGCCTGGCCGACTGGCACTGGTCCCGGACATAGCGCCTCGAGAGGCCATTGACGGGGCACAACCAAGGTATTAAGGACCGGTTGTTCTTCTCGCTCAGACCGAGGACCGCACACAGCAGAATGGCATGCTGCAGCGGTGTGACAAGATTCAGAGCAGTCGCATAGCTCGCACCTCGCACCCTCCTGACCATGTAGCGCGTGAATGACTCGAACACCTCCCGAGACAGCGAGAGGGGATCTTAAGGCACGCACCATCGTGAAGAAGCAAGACGCCTCTAGTCCCACACTCTGCCGAAGCCGATGGACCACCTTGCCCACGCAGCTCAGGTCATACGCGCACTGCGACACGCACAACACGAGCCGACACGAGCAGGTGGGGATCTGTGCTTCGGCAACCTGGGGCACCCTTGCTCGCGCCTGGCTGACGGGCTGGAGCCACAGACCCATGCATGACGGCCGTGTGGATTTGTCTTCCGCCTCTGCTCTGGTGTCGCGGGTCTGTCTTCAGCGCGGGAGCCATGCACTCGCTCCAGCACTGCTTTTTGACACGCATCGGCAGATGCCTACAATACCGCACCCCTCGAGCCTGGACGCACGGCACTGGTCCTGGACATAGCGCCTCGCGAGGCCACTGACGGGGCACACGCAAGGAATTCAGGACCGGTTGTTCTTCTCGCTCAGACTGAGGACCGCACGCAGCAAAATGGCATGCTGCAGCGGTATGACAAGATTCAGAGCAGTCGCATAGCTCGCACCTCGCACCCTCACGACTCCCGACCATGTAGCGCGTGAATGACTCGAACGCCTCCCGAGACAGCGAGAGGGGATCTTAAGGCACGCACCATCGTGAAGAAGCAAGACGCCTCTAGTCCCACACTCTGCCGAAGCCGATGGACCACCTTGCCCACGCAGCTCAGGTCATACGCGCACTGCGACACGCACAACACGAGCCGACACGAGCAGGTGGGGATCTGTGCTTCGGCAACCTGGGGCACCCTTGCTCGCGCCTGGCTGACGGGCTGGAGCCACAGACCCTGTCTTCCGCCTCTGCACTGGAGCGCGTTTCTTAAATTTGGCGATACTGGGCATTATAGGGGGGGCCAGGATGGGGATAATGTAACGACCCCCCCGCCGTGTGGCTCCGGCACAACAGCCGCGGCCGCGCGCACGACGACGATGAGCGACGAGCGACGAGCGACGAGGGCCGACGACGACGACGACGCGAGCAGCATGTAGGTAGCGACCTGCCCCATCGCGCCTCTGTACACCACCATGCTCGCCTGCACCATAGCGCGCGTGTACACCACAGAACCTGCGTACACCGCAACAGCCGTGTGCGACGCAGCGCCTGTGTACACTGGAGTGCTTGCGTGCACCACAGCGCTGGTTACACCACAGCGAATGCGTAACACCGCAGCAACCTTGTGCAACACAGCGCCTGTGTACACCACAATGCCTGCGTGCACCGCAGCGCCTGTGCACACCACAGCGCCCGTCTACACCACAGCATCCGCGTGCACGCAGCGCTGGTGTACATCACAGTGTCTGCGTGCACAAGACAGGTAGACCGAGCATGTAAGTGAGGATCCGCTGCGGACAACTAAACTTTCACCTCCTCCTCCTCCTCCTCCGAGGGGAGGAGAAGGAGAAGGAGGAGGAGGAGAAGGAAGAGGAGGAGGAGGAGGAGGAGGAGGAGGAGGAGAGGGAAGAGCAGGAGGAAGAGAATGAGTTTTTACCGTGAACACAAAACCACAATTTCGGATCCCTATGCGGATCCCAGTGCGGGTCCGTATACGAATCCTTATGCAGATCCCAAGGCGGATCCCTATGCGGATCCATGCGCGCTTGCATAGCTCGCACCTCGCACCCTCACGACTCCGACCATGTAGCGCGTGAATGACTCGAACACCTCCCGAGACAGCGAGAGGGGATCTTAAGGCACGCACCATCGTGAAGAAGCAAGACGCCTCTAGTCCCACACTCTGCCGAAGCCGATGGACCACCTTGCCCACGCAGCTCAGGTCATACGCGCACTGCGACGCGCACAACACGAGCCGACACGAGCAGGTGGGGATCTGCGCTTCGGCAACCTGGGGCACCCTTGCTCGCGCCTGGCTGACGGGCTGGAGCCACAGACCCATGCATGACGGCCGTGTGGATTTGTCTTCCGCCTCTGCACTGGAGCGCGTTTCTTTATTGTTTGGCGATACTGGGCATTATAGGGGGGGCCAAGATGGGGATAATGTAACGACCCCACCGCCGTGTGGCTCCGGCACCACAGCCGCGGCCGCGCGCACGACGACGATGAGCGACGAGCGACGAGCGACCAGGGCCGACGACAACGACGACGCGAGCAGCATGTAGGTGGCGACCTACCCCATCGCGCCTCTGTACACCACCATGCTCGCCTGCACCATAGCGCGCGTGTACACCACAGAGCCTGCGTACACCGCAACAGCCGTGTGCGACGCAGCGCCTGTGTACACTGGAGTGCTTGCGTGCACCACAGCGCTGGTTACACCACAGCGAATGCGTAACACCGCAGCAACCTTGTGCAACACAGCGCCTGTGTACACCACAATGCCTGCGTGCACCGCAGCGCCTGTGCACACCACAGCGCCCGTCTACACCACAGCATCCGCGTGCACGCAGCGCTGGTGTACATCACAGTGCCTGCGTGCACAAGACAGGTAGAACGAGCATGTAGGTGAGGATCCGCTGCGGACAACTAAACTTTCACCTCCTCCTCCTCCTCCGAGGGGAGGAGAAGGAGAAGGAGGAGGAGAAGGAAGAGGAGGAGGAGGAGGAGGAGGAGGAGAGGGAGGAGCAGAAGGAAGAGAATGAGTTTTTACCGTGAACACAAAACCACAATTTCGGATCCCTATGCGGATCCCAGTGCGGGTCCGTATACGAATCTCTATGCGGATCCCAAGGCGGATCCCTATGCGGATCCATGCGCGGATCCCTATGCGGATGCTTACGCGGATCCCGATGCGGACCCCGATGCGGACCCCGATGCGGATGCCTATGCGGATGCCCATGCGCAGTGCCATACGAATCCCTATGCGAATCCCTATGCGGCTCCTTACGCGGCGTGCGGATACCTGATGCGCATGGGCATGCCTATGCGGATCCCCATGAGATTTCCAACGCGGACCAAACTCCTATGCTGATTCCTATGAGGACGCCGATGCGGATCCCGATGCGCACGACGGCCGTGCCCGGAGCGCACTGGGGGGGAGGTTGCATAATAGGGGGGGGGGGGGGCTATAATGCCCATTATGCCCAAAGCGAGAAAGAAACACGCTCCTGGTGTCGCGGATCTGTTTTTCAGCGCAGGAATCATACAATCGCAACAGCACTGCTTTGTGACACGCATCGGCAGATGCCTACAATACCGCATCCCTCGAGCCTCGACGCACGGCACTGGTCCCGGACATAGCGCCTCGCGAGGCCACTGACTGGGCACACGCAAGGTATTAAGGATCGGTTGTTCTTCTCGCTCAGACTGAGGACCGCACGCAGCAAAATGGCATGCTGCAGCGGTGTGACAAGATTCAGAGCAATAGCTCGCACCTCGCACCCTCACGACTCCCGACCATGTAGCGCGTGAATGACTCGAACACCTCCCGAGACAGCGAGAGGGGATCTTAAGGCACGCACCACCGTGAAGAAGCAAGACGCCTCTAGTCCCTAGTCCCACACTCTGCCGAAGCCGATGGACCACCTTGCCCACGCAGCTCAGGTCATACGCGCACTGCGACGCGCACAACACGAGCCGACACGAGCAGGTGGGGATCTGTGCTTCGGCAACCTGGGGCACCCTTGCTCGCGCCTGGCTGACGGGCTGGAGCCACAGACCCATGCATGACGGCCGTGTGGATTTGTCTTCCGCCTCTGCACTGGTGTCGCGGGTCTGGTGTCGCGGGTCTGTCTTCAGCGCAGGAACCATACACTCGCACCAGCACTGCTTTTTGACACGCATTGGCAAATACTTACAAAGCCGCACCCCCTCGAGCCTGGCCGAATTGCACTGGTCCCGGACATAGCGCCTCGCGAAGCCACTGAGTGGGCACTCGAAAGGTATTAAGGACTGGTTGTTCTTATCACTTCAAGGCCATGTAGGCTTTCAATTTCCTGTGCCATTCCCGCTTCTCTCATTCCGCCTCTCTAGGCTGGCAGCTCGGCCATGGCTGCCTCGGGCGACGGCGACGCACGAAGGCCCGGTGCCCCTGTCAGGCAGTTGTTCAAACAGCATCGGGTCCAGTCCGCTTCATGAAATGGACGGGATCGGTGATGACAGTGGAGCTGCCAAATGAAGTTCGAGACGATCTCGCAGGAGCCGCCGTTCTCTTCAACGAACCTCCAACAACTGGAACTTTTGATGAACGAATTCCATGCACACGATTAAACCCATTCGGAAGGATATTACCGCTATCAAGCAGCACGGCGTGTCCCAGCACGACTTGGAAAACGCAGCGACACCCATAAGATGGAACATCGACCACACAAGCGGACGGAAGCTCTTGAATCAAAGTGCACGTCAGGACCACCTTCTGCGAGATCGGCATCTGGCGTATCCATCGACACAACCACCCAGAACAAACTGGTGCAGATCGAACGGGAAGTTGCCGCATTACGTCATGGTTCAAGTGCAAGTTCTCTTGCCGACGCGAACACACCAACAAAAGGGAGCGTGCAGCAAAATTGGGAAACTGGGATGGTTCATTGAATATTGAAGATAATGTCGAATGGATCGCTGAGACATCGGCCCGGCTTTCCAAACCATTGCCAATTAACATATATACCAAAGGCAAATGCAGGGGCATGGTATTTTTGGAATACAGATCGGTTGACGACCGAAACACGGCCGTCACTCAGTTTCGGAGCACTGTAAAATCAGATGGGCCACCCCCGACCGCCCGCCTCTGGCGAGAGCCGCACGCAACATGTGTCTCGGTCTCAGGTACACGTTGAAAAACACAATGGCCATTGACTGTCCCATACGTGTGGACGAAGATTCTCACCCGTTCACCGTAACAGTTGGAGGGGAACTGGCTTCGTCCGCGAAGATCGACGAGGACAGGGTCACCAAGATATGGTGGTGGGAGGACTGGCGAGACTTCCAAAACCATGCGAAACTCCATGCGCTAATTGCAGCCTGCGACGGGATCATAAATCGCACGGCGGCGAACCGCAAAGGGGGGTCGAAAGG